ATACATGAATTATTTTTTATTTATTTTGGAATGTGGTGGTGCGAATGGGTCTCATTAAATTACTGAATCAATCTTTTAAGGATGTTTTTACTTTTTTAACAGCGTCAGTCAGCGCCTTTAAGCAACATGGTCAAACTTAAATTATAATAGTAATTAGGTGTGAAAACTTTCCAAGAGGGCTTAAACAAGATTAAAAAATAAGTCTAGACAAAACAAAACAAAACAAAAATTAAGAGAAAAGATGGTTGCTGTTACCTGGACTGCGCGAACTAGCGGTGATGGTGATTTGACCTTCTTGTCCGTACAACGAACAACTCCAAAGAGATGGAGCAACTCTATCTCCGAAAGCAGAAACTTCCTTTTCTCAGCTTCCAAGGACGGCGTTGCGCTTCCCAAGGACAAAGCCTCCCGTATCACGCATTCGTAAACGGTCATCTTCTCCTTGGAACCCGAATCGGCATCGCGTAACTCTAAAATGGAATCGTCGATCTTCTCTGCTGCCACAATCAGGAGAGCAGCTAAACCGACTATAAGCCCTTCTACGGCCTTTGCACACGCCACCTCTGCAACTTCCTTCGTCTTTTCACAAAGAAGTCTTATTGTAGTCAAATCCTGTGAAATACAAAATATGAAGATAAAAATAACATAAAAAAAAAAAAAAAGAAGTTGATGAACATATTTTCTTATTTCTTTTATTATGATAAGATTCGAAATCATTCAGAAAAAAAAAAGTAAATTTTAGTGTTCTCAGTGGTATAGTGATAACAGTCAATCGGGAAGAACGCAAAATTAATGGTGTATGATATCTTTTTTAATATTTCGTTATCTACAGCTTTCTCGCTACCAAACAGCCTTTTAATGAGCTTGATAAAGTTCTTTTTTCCATTTTTCTTTTCCGTGCAAAGGACAACCTTTGTGCCGAGAAGGACGACCAAGTCCTCAATAGAATAATCGTCAGGGTTCCATTTCACATCCATCCTGAAATCACGAAAATCAAATGGTTCTTTCTCAGTTTCTTGACAAAAAAAAAAATGTTAAACGAAAAGGATAAAGCGACTGAAAAAGAAAAAGCAAATTTTCTATAATAGGAAGTTCTACTGTAGCGTTCATCGGGAAAGACAAATCTGTTGCCTTTTTCGTACTGAAACAAAAACGACATGTATTTCGGAACTTTACCTTGTGCTGGAAAGAGACAGCTCCAGAGGGAGCTGAGCGCGACCGTCCTTGGTCCGGAGGTCCGTACGAGCGCGTTTCCTGAGCAACAACTCCACGCACCGGGCGGCGTGCGACTCAGCCGCCGTGTGCAGAGGCGATTTCCCCGACTCGTCCACCTCGTTCGTCATCGGCACCTCTCCGACATCTCCGCCGAGCAATGCCGAGGCGCACTCCGCCGAGTCGAACACGCAGCAGAGATGGAGGAGCTTCGATGTGATGCTCCGGTCGACGGGCTCCGAATATGTCTCAGACAGTTGCTTCGAGTGAATCACAAGAGAAATCTCATCGTCTCGATAAATGGACTTGATTACTCCCCTTTCCGCCTCAGGCATGTCTAGATTCTCACTCGGCGAGATCAGAACATCGTCCTCCTCGCTCAGAAAGATCTTTTGTGGAATATATATGGAAGAATCTGTGCATTTTGGAGGCTCGTTGAAGTCAAGGAGCTCCTCCATTGTTCCGAGACTTTGCGCTTCCTGCGAGTGATTATGTCTCAGTAAGTTTCCACAAAAAGTGAAAACGGAAAACAGGAAACACAAGCATTAACATGCAAGATTTGCCATTTCGTTTTCCTCCGAATCTTGAATCAAACTCTTTGGCATTTCACAGAAAATGTCTAATTTTTTTTCGGTGAAAATCACATGAAACTTGGTGCGAAATTTCTCTCGAAGCTCAAAAATCGATTCACATTCCGAGAAAACTCCAGTTCAAGTAGAAATGAACTTCAAGTAGAAAGAAAAAACCGAATCATGCTCAAGAAAAAGTCCCGCACCAGATTCATCTGAAAACCCTAATTATTTTCAGCTCCAGAATCAACCTCACATCATCGGAAGCAATGTACAAAAATTTACGTGCCAAATCAAACCACAGTTCGCAAAAGATCTCCACCAAGATAACAAAATCAAGATTTTCTCGTTTGCAAGCGAGAGATTTGGGAAATAAGTTCGTCGTCAAGCCATGAAAAAGTGAAAATTTTCGGTCTCCGGTTTGATTTTCTGAAGAAACAAAGAAGTGAAGGAGAGGGAAACCCATGGGTATTTATAGAGGCGGACTTGAAACAGTTAATAAGCTAGAATGCGATGCGTATTCTTCACGTCCTTATTCGTTTGCTGATTAGACTAAAATACCCCTGCGTTGTGTTTATTATCGACGCAATAAGATAGTAAATAATGATAGTTTCAGGGGCTAAGTTTGACAACAAAATTGCACAACTTTTTGGCGCAGCTACGTCCTTGTCCAGAAAGCATAAAAAGGGGCAAATCAATTATGGACACGTGCCAGAAACCTAGTCTTCTGTTGAAGAAAATGACAAAGATTTACATGGGAGATGTGTGGGAATTAGATGAGGCTAAACTTTTTAAAGACGTCTTTTTTATTTGCGGTGAGAATGGCTTAATTTAGTAGTACTCTAGATTTTAGAAAAAAAAATTTTAATTGTGCTCAAGAAAGAAATAGATATTATAAAAGTAGTTGAGTATTTGATAAATTATAATTATAGTAATTGTGTTGATTTTAAAATTAGTGTAATAACGATTGGTAAATTATGAGGTTAAATTATTATGGATAGTTAAAAATTACGATTATATTATATTATACTATAATATAATATAGAATTACAATATAATATATATTTATTATTATATTTAATATAATACAAAAAAACTATTATTATATAATTATGATATAGAATATAATAATATTATTAAAATAATAATTTAAAAATAACGATTATATTATATTATAATATA